CGTGGGGCGGGACACGGACGACACACAACAGGGGGATGGACATGTAGGAATGCAGAACAGGACATGACAGACAGCCAGGAAGATAACTGTACTTCTCAAAGAAAAGTATTTCTGTTCAAAGAAAACTAAAGACTGGAAATCAATTCATGTCATTTATACAAACTCTGCTCATCTCACAAGTGTTAACTTACATCCAGTAAAGTTACAGATCTCTTCAAAGAAGATCTAATTCAGTGTTTCATTGCACTGGACTTGCAGTTACAAGGAGAGTTTACCTGCAAAAGTATCTCCAGGCTGTTTTTCTCTTTCGTTTTAAGATGTGAATGACCAAGGGCTCCTCCCCTACTCATCCTGCTTTTTCTATGTAAATCACTTCCTCAAATCAATGACATCTATCAGCTTTGTGCTTTACTTAATCCAGCTGTCTATACACTATCAGGTATAGTTGTAGAATATTTTGGGTTTCATAGTCACAAGGACATCCAGAACACATTATTTATGTCCAACATTTCTGCACAACCCATCAACTAACAATTGTGCCAGGTGTGTTTTGTACTGTCTCAACACTCTGATTCTGACAGTTTAAGTATCTTCAAAATTTTCAGATACTTCTCTGACCTTCATCTATAATCTGGTCTTCAAGATCAGCTTCCAGTTCTATTCAGATTTGTCAACGGATCTGTGATTTCACATTGTTTAAAAAGGTTGCGTATGGCCATACTGGTTAAACAAGCAATTCTATGAAATACACTGCTGTTCTAACAAAGTAATTCGGGGTAGACATCTGTCAAATGTCAAGACAGTGGACAAACGCACAATGCTAGACTGAATAGAGCATACACTTGATTTATGAATTTTTATGTAAAACTGAAAGTGAAACTTTCAGTTACAACTACAAGTTATTAGGGTAAGATCTTCTTCAGCCTGCAAAAAAAAAATTCAGTAGAACTGCCATGAGAGTTTTTATCACAAGTATACATGAAATAGCTAGTGACAGTACAATGTGTCTTCAGAATAAATATTGATCCCTATCCTTCTGGTTCCACAAAAATTGAAAATTAATAAACAAATGAGCACTCCTACTGTAAAGCTTACCAGAACATCTTGGGCAGGAAGAGGAAGGATACACGACTTCTCAAAAAAAAAACCCCAAACAAACAAACCACACATAAAAAAAAACCCCAAAACACCAAGTCACCAGCCACCCAGAAAAAGCTCCTAGTCAAGCCACTACCAAATCCAGATGTGATAAATACCTGCTTGAACACCCCCACCTCCCCCCCCCATTTTCCACTTCCCCTGTAATAAAATAGAAAGCTAAATTCCAGGAAGGGGCAGGTGTGTTAATGAAAGAAAACAGCCTTCAGGAAAGGGTTCTGTCTACCTAGAAGAAACACCTGATCGTAAGAGAGAATCAAACTTTGAAGGTGCACTACTGATGCTTCAGGCACTTTTTTTTCCTCACTGAAACAAAGTTCTGGTTGCAGAAACAAATAACAAAGAAAAACAATTTGTGCATCAACATTTGCTTGCCGATTGTCAGAGCTCAAATAGTAGCATCTCACCAATACAGTCACATTTCTACAGTTTACAAAACGATCTCTCGCTTTTCACTCACCTATATACCAGTTAGGACTTATTCATTCAGAACACACTTTTAGAAACCTCAGCCTTCTTAAGGACTCCATCTCTCTACAAGGAAAGATGACATAAAAATCATTAGAAAAATATACATAAACTAAATTCCTGTATTACTTGTCTAAATCCTCCTCCTGCCCAACATACACTTTCTGGAAGAGTTCCTCAAATCCAGTTTAATCACAGTGTTAACATTTCAAAAAACAAAATTACAAAACTAAATTCACCTTCCTAAAACCATGGCAAGACCATTCTTTCTTCACTGCAGCTCAGAAAACACACCAGTCAGAAGAACACTATACAGATCACCTACCATCTACTTTCTCAGCAATGGTGGCCACACATTTATTTTTGTTTGCAATGTTTCAGCCATCAAAGTCTATACTCTACCACGCACTACTACCATACAAACAAACTTACAGCGTAACAAAGACTTTTAAATGCGACCGAATGCAGGACACAAGCGACAGCTTAAGGTATCTGCGCTGTCCTTCAAAACAGCAGCTCTGACCGGAGCTGCCTGACGCCCCAGGCAGCGCTCGCCTTAGAGGAGCAGGGCGCGGAGCCGGGCTCGACTCGACAACGCGCGGACCGCCAGGCGAACGCTGCCGCCACCAGCCGGGACCCGAAAGCGAAGACCGCCAGCCTTCAGCAGCGGCTTCCTTACCACTCACAAGGGCGAGAGAGACGTGTGAGAGCCATGCCACCAGAGCACGGTCATTTCACACCACCCCAAGACCGTACCCAACAACTTAGAACTCCCTGCCACCGCTCACCCCACACTGACAAAATGGCGGCGCGCTACGGGCTCTCACACGCTGTCCCGCAAGGCACGCGCGCTCCAGCGCCACCGGAGACTTAAATGTTTCTTCTGTGGAGGATGGGACTTAAGGTTGATTGGCGGGAGCGCGACGGCAGTGCCCAGCCAATCGATACCGCCCAAGTGCGGAGGCGCCGCCCCCCTCTTGGGCTGAGGGCGGGAGAGTGAAGTGCCGCGGTTGGGGCAGTGTCTCGCGTTCCTGCCTGAAGGTGGCGTGGTCGAGTTTGTTTTCCTTTTGGGGTTGTACTTTG